CATCCCAAGCATCTAGGATCCCAAACGGGCACCTTGGATCCACCTGGGCCATTCCGGGCATCCTGCAAGCGTGCTGGGGCCGTCTTGGATCCAAGACGGCCCCGGCACGCTCTCAGGACAGCCCCAGAAGACGACCTGCCGAGCTCGAAGAAGCCTCTCCGCAGTCTGCACCTTTCGGCCGGACGTCCCTCCACGGAGGCCGCCTCCAGAAACCCCTCCCATGACCTTCCCGTCCTGCCGCCGCGGCACCCGCCACCCTTTCCGCTCCCGCCTGGTTCTGCTCCCCTCGGCTCTGGAGCACTCTCGACAACGTACCTGCCCGGCAGGTGCGTGAGATACAGTCAGCCCGGATCCGCTGGCCCCTTGTGGGGCCACCAGGCTGTAGGATGAGGTTGTTGCTCCCTGCGCCAGTTGCAGTTTCGAGCCTCCAATGCTGCAGTCCTGCTTTTTACTTCCTACTGTAAATTGTTGAAGTCCGCGCGGGGGGAAGGAGCCCCAAACCAGCATTTTTGCCACTCCCAAATGGCGTTGCCTGAATTCCAGGGGGGGGCGTGGGACACGTGAAAATACATGACAGTCATGCCCCCGAGGACAAAATCCCGGGTAAATCACGCAATGTTCGCGTCCCCGAAGCCACAAACCCGATTCAGTTACACAATTCTTGCGCCCCCGAGGCAACACACCTTTATCGATTACACCATACTCGAGACCGCGAAGCCGTACCCCCTCGTAAATTACACGGTATTCGCGTCCTCGAAGCCAGAAGCCCTCGCAATTTATACAATGTTGCATCCCCGAGGCAACACACCATCGCAAACTACACAATATTCGCGTCCCCGAAGCATTACGCCCTCGCAGATTACAGCGTATTCGCGTTGCCGAGGCCAAGAGTGCTCCAAGGTGACCAACAATTGTTCCAAGATGGCCCAAGAGGACCCCAAGAGGCCCCAAGAGCGCTCCAAGAGGCCTCCCGAGAGAGCCCCAAGACGCCAAAGTCGTACACATTACGACGAATGTTGAAGGATTTTGGCTTTCTTCTCGCATTCTCAGCTTTCCGACGATCCAAGACGGCTCAAGAAGCTCCCAAGACCGCCCTAAGACAGCCCAAGACGCCTCCAAGAGGGCCCCAAGACGGCCCATGAGTGCTCCAAGATGGCCCAAGAAGCGCTCCGAGAAGCCCCGAGAAGCCCGCGGGAGGCCCCAAAAGGCCGCCAAGAGGCCGCAAGAGGCCCCAAGAGGCGCCCAAGACGCGCCCCAGAGGCCTCCAAGAGACCCCAAAGATGCCCCACGAGTCCCCCCCCCCCCCCGAGCTCCGACCAGCAGGGAGGCGCGCCTGGCCGAACACCTTCTCGATGAGCTTCCCGTTCATCTTCATGGCGTCCGCGAAGATCAGGGCCGGAAGGAAGGTGAAGAAGAGCGCCTGCGGACCCCCACCTCCCGAGAGGAAGAGAAAGACGGGCATAAACGTCAACTTTCCGAGCTCCGCGCGGATTTCATGAATCTGCGCTGAAGCCCCCTCCCCCGCGCCTCCGGCGCCAGGGGCGGCGCTGGAGGCGCCACCGGGGGGGCCCAGCGCAGATCCAGGAAATCCGCGCGGACCGTCGAAAGTGTGATGTTCATGTAGTTTTTGTTCGTCTTCGTTTCCTCTCGCTGTGAAGAGAGGCTGCGGAGGAATTGTGGGGGGGCGCCCAGCGCAGATCCAGGAAATCCGCGCGGACCGTCGAAAGCTTGCTTGGTGTTCATGCGGTTTGCTCGTCTTCTTTTCCTCGCGCTGTGAAGAGTAGCCTTAGGTCGGGCATGTCCCCCGACAGGCTGATTCTGGGCGAAGAATGGAAAATACAACAAATGCTCTATAGTAGCCAAACAACACTTTAAAACATCGTCCCCCGGCTATTTTTTCAAGTACTTTTGAATTTCCCCTCTGTAGAGGGACAGGCCCGCCGTAAGAGTAGCCGCGGAGGTATATTCAGGTCGGGCGCGTCCCCCAACAGGCGGATTTTGGGCGAGACGTGCAAGATGCTCAACAAAGATACCCCCGAATAGCCAAAAGATAATCAAACAGTTGTCCCTCGACATCTTTTGAACGTATATTTGGGATCTCCCCCCTGTAGAGGGACAGGCCCGACTTATACGCGTAGCCGCGGAGGCATACCGTGGGACCAACCTCGACGTCCCGAGGGGCCCCCGCCAGGCCCCCGCCGGTCAAGGCCTTACTCGGGGAGGAACAGCCGGTGGACCCGGGGAAGGGGCCTATAACTAGTCGGGCCAGGCGAAAGGGGGGAGGCCTATCAACCTCCGAGCCAGAACCACCACCACCATAAGTTGGAGGGGGAAGAAGGAGGAGGAGGAGGAGGAGGAGGAGGAGGAGGAGGAGGAGGAGGAGGAGCCCCTCCCCCTCCTACTTGTGGTGGTGGCGGTGGAAAACAGGTCCACCACCAGAACCACTTGGGCCGGGCGAAAGGGGGGTATAGCACAAAGGGGGTTTGAGAATCAGCTCACGTGGCTTATTTTCCCGGCGCCTCCTGGCGCCGGGACGCACCCACATATCGGCCCGGCGGCGGGGCCGAAACCAGCTGCATGCAGCAGATTTCGTCACCCCCCCTTTCCCTATCCCCCCCTTTCGTTCGGCCCGACTATAGCTAGGTCGGGCCTGTCCCCCTAAAGGCGGATTTTGGAGGAAAAATGATAAATACCCCAACTAATACCTCGAAGTAATCAAAAATAGGCGCCAAAAGCGTCACTAGACTATGTTTTTACCTTTTGAATTTTCCTCCTGTAGAGGGACAGGCCCGACTTAAGCCTAGAGACCTCTGTGGTGGCCCACGCTGCTGCGAGCACGAACGCGACGCGGGCAGGGCTGCGGGATGGAGGAGTGCGCCAGGCTGGAGGCGGCTAGGGGGGGTCTGCGCTGATGGGGCCCCTGGAAAAACGGTGAGGAAGGGGGGGGGGATGAGGCCGATTCCGCGCAACATCGCAAATCTTTCACCCCGAATCCGTTTTTCTCGGAAACCGTGAGAAAGTCCAAACACCTTTTCGAACCCAGAACCTCGAACCCTGGATCCTTATCCTGGGGACCTTACGCCAGACGGAAATGAAACAAAGTCGTAACTGATTCGAAGGGAAGCCCTTCCCTTTGATCCCTTCCCTGGCGGGGAAGGTCGGGAACGGCCAAGAGGGGGGTGTCCAAGAGGGGGGTGTGCAAATCACGACCGGCGGCATGTGCGCGGCCCAGCGGGGGGGCCAGGGACGTAATGAAATAAGAAGAGGCGCCATGAAATATGGGGAAATATCATGGCCCGCGCCATGATATCCACCCCCCCCTAGTCATCACCCCCCTCCTTTCCGCCCCAGAGAAGGGTTCGCTGGGGATGGTCGGGGTGGTCGGGAGGGGGTTCCGGCGGTCGTGCCCCCCCCCCCTCGGGGGTCCCCCCCCCTGTGGGGAAGAGGGGTAAGGCGGTGGCCCCTTGTGGGAAGGGGGAGCGAAGGACCCCTCCCCCCGCCACCCCTCTGTGGACAAGGAGACCACAGCCACCTCCCTTCCGCTCCCAGACCCCCCCTCACAGAGGCACCCTCCTCACTCTTATCTGCTCAGATCCGCTCCGAGACGGCTCCAAGTGGCCGCGGAGCTTCCCAAGAAGTCGCCCAAGAGGCCCCGCTCCGAAGGAAGCCCCAAAGAGCTCCAGAGCGTCAGCGCCGTCGTCGTCGTCGTCCCCCGTCAAGGTCGGCGGCACTGGCCGCAAGGCCTTCCCAACATCCGCTTCAGTCAAGGCCAAGGGCACCCCACCAACATAACCAGAAAGAGGAACACCACTTTGCTTCGAACGATCCCCACCCGAAAACGCGAGGCGGGACCCCCAGGGAGCACCAGCGCGCTTTGGGCCTGGCGGCCCCTCCTCCTCCTCCTCCACCTCCTCCTCCTCCTCCACCTCCTCCTCCTCCTCCTCCTCCTCCTCCTCCTCCTCCTCCTCCCCGCGGCATGCAGGCGTCGCTCGTCGAAAGCACGAGGCGGGATACCCAAGGGAGCACCCGCACACGCTTCGGGCCCCGCGGCCGCGGCAGGTCAGGCCCGTGTCGCGCCGGCCTCGGCGCTGGCTTCTGACACCGCGGGGATCGTCCACCCTTGAGCGATCGGCCGTTTCCGAAACGCCCAAGTCTTTCCGCGTCGAGCGATTCTGGGTCGCCCACGGCGTTCCACGTTGAGCGCCGCTGGTCGACACGACACGAGCCTACCGTAGGTAGGGAGGGTCTGCGGGGCGGTTGGGAGCTGCTCTCCTCAAATGCGACCATGAAGGGGCCCTGGGGCACACAAATAAATACACACAAATAAAAGGATTCCCTTATATTTTCCCATATTTTCTGGGTTTCTGTCTTCCCACCCACTTCCCATATTTTCCAATATTTTCTGGGGAATCGACGATTCATTGTGTCTGTGTGTTTTTCCCTCCTGCGAAACGGCAGAGCCGTTTTTTTCCAATCGTTTTCGGACAAGAAACAAATCTCCTGAACATGGAACCGGCAACAAAAACGGCCACCGGAAACGGCAATAAAAACGTCTCCGGGATTGGAACCGGAACGGGAACTGGCAAACGCACGGCGAAGAAAACTGACCAAACAACGGTGTCGGAGCTGGCAACAAAAACGGCAAAACGGAACTGGTAACAAAAACGGCCCGGTCGTTTCCAGGGCCCACAGGTCCCCTTTGCGAGATGGCTGCCTCTCCACGTATGCATGGTGCTGTTCGTGGCTGGGCCGCAGCGAAGGAGGACCGCGCCGTCATACCACACCTGACTACGTGAGGCCTGAGGCTCCTCAATCCGACGCGCAGTACATCCGTCCGAGAGATCGTCCTCCTGCTCCTCCTCCTGATCTCTCCTCGATTTTCCCCTCTTCCTCCTCCTCCTCCTCCTCCTCCTCCTCCTCCTTAGGACATTTGCGCATCCACGGCTTCAGAGCGTGCCCCCTCCAGTGCACACGGGGCGGCCGGCGCGGCACGTGTGGGTCGATGTGCTCCCACAGCTCGATGGAGTCGTACCACGTCTTTCCCCTGCACCCGCTCTGCCATAGGCGTCTCGTGGACGCCATTGCGAGCGTGGGCTTGCGCGACTGGGGATGCGACACATCACAGATGCATGAGAGCCAGCTTCTGAATTCGGCGCGCTTGCCTTCGTATTACGCCCGTGGAAGCTCGGCGCGCTGACGGTCAAGGAAACAACGAATCCCACACGGCTCTGGAACAGCTTCCTGGCGCCGACGGTACGACTCTCACTAGGCACTAGACCTAGGCACTAGGCGATAGGCACTGCCCAAACATTGAGCAGACCAGCGCGTCTACGCCTGCCAGAACAATTCAAAAATCATGAATCCACTGACAGCCAACAATCACGACACTCTTACAGCGCTGAACAACAACTCGATGCCCTGTGACTCGCTAAGGGTGCGACGCGCTTACAACTAAGCTCGACAAGATTCGCCATGACTACCCTCCGCAAGGCTCCCAGCCACCTGGAAATGCGCCCAAGCGGCCTGGTCTGGGGTGGACAGCCCAAGAGCCCCTCAAGACATCTGCCACAAGCTCCTCCCAGACGGCCCCGAGATGGACCAAGACCAGTCCAAGACCGCCCCAAGACTTTTCTGGACGGCCGCAACATCCCCTGAATTGGCTCCAAGACCATCGGCCACGGCCCCAACAAAAAATCTCAGCCTCAACACCCCCAGGCGACAACCGTTAGAAGCTTTTCTACGGGCCACCAAGAAGCCCCCAAGATGCCCCTGAGAGGCCCGCAAGAAACAATGCGACAAGCTTGCAACTCCACGGCCGTTTCGCGAGCAGAAGGAAGCACTTCACCCAACCAGTATTATGTGACGCGCTGGTCAGGAAATACACGCCTTCTGCTCCTCATCCTCCTCATCATCTTGCTCCTGCTTCCACTACTCGGCTTTATCCTACTCCTCCTCCGCACTTACGACGCAACGAGGGTTCCCCTCTCTGGTGAGCGGAACTGGCGATCTGCAGATATCGGGCACGATCTGATCATAAAACGCTAAACCAATACAGCGACCATGAACAACATAGCTACACGACAATTCGCGGTGGCGGAAACGTATAACGGCGAAGCTGGGCATCAACGATCGAAAGAGAATGCAGGAATGACTGCAGAAATGGCCCAATGTCAAACCCCAATGGGCTAGTACTAAATTGGGCAAAGCATGCGGAAAACACCAAACTCTGTACGACCTTCGGCGCGCTGTCGTTTTGAGATGAAATGCCGCTGCAACTGACATCGCACGTCAGCTGTGTTGGGACATCGTGGGAATGTTGGGCACATCTGCACGACCCGCCAAACCATCAAACCCAATGCCGACCCAATTTGTGTCAACATTCCCGCGTTCAAAGCTTGCGCCAAGTACATCACGACTGTCCTGGCACCCTCAAAACATTTAAGTAAGCTATGTCCTCGCGCGGACAGCGAAAACCAAACTTAGTCGCACGTGCATGTATGTGCTTGTGCCGTGAGGTTCTGCTCTGATAATGAATGTGCGGCTGTCCATCGCTGACGCAGCTGCGCGTCCGCAGAACAAACAACTGCTAGCGCGCAGTGCGCTTTGCGGGGCACGATGGGGTACTATCTTGGCGGCTGGCCTGCCGCTGCTGCACTACCTTCCGCACGTGCACGCTGCCGTTGTGGACCATCTGCCCTGGTGCTCCGCTCGAGTGCAAGTGGTTTCGCTCTCTCGAGTTTCACGTGGACGGCCTGGGGTCAGCGAGTACAGAGGCGCCCGGGGTCTCGCCACTGCTAAACATGTTGGTCGTCGCAACGCTGGTGGACGCTCAGCGCGGTCGAAGCAGCAGCCGGGCTACGGGAGCGAGAAAAAAGCACACAAGAGGCTAGACCAAAGAGAGGGGTGCAACAATTCACGACTGTTCAGCACAACATGGGAGACCAGCACAACAACCGTTTATGTGCATCGAGGTCCGAATGACCTCCACATGCCTCGTTCGACCGCCACTGAGACAAGTGAATGTTATTGTGCGCGAGCTGTTACAGCAGCTGTCCCAATCATCGACGTTAAGGCCAACACATCTCTGTCTTTCTACAAACTTCGATGCTGCCCCCCCCCCGCAATCCATACAATGTGGTCCTTATCGGGCCGGAAGAAGTGGATCGCAGAGAATACCATACCTGAAATGACCGGGATTAGGGATGATATAAGAGGGAGGGCGAGTGGCAAACACAAGCATGCCTGGTCTCTGCTCCAGGGACAGCAGCCACCGACATTGGAGGAAGGATCCCAGCGGGGGGGACCGCAGAGAACACGTCGAGTCGCAGAAAGAGAGAGAGAGAGAGAGAAGGAGAGAGAGAGAGAAACAACAAAGAGACAGGGATACATATAAACAAACATATACACAGAGAGAGAGAGAGAGAGAAAAAGAGAGAGAGAGAGCGAGAGAGAGAGAGAGAGAGAGAGAGAGAAAGAGAGAGAGAGAGAAACAAAACAAACACACCAGAAACATATGCAACGAGATACGGTGAGAGAGAGAGAGAGATACAGAGAGAGACAGATAAACAAAACACAGTGACAGAGAGATGGATATTGAGAGAGCGGCCAAAGGGAAGGGGCGAAGGAGAGACTAGAGCAGGACGTGCTCGAGAGGCGATGCAAGAACCGGCTCGGCAATGCGCAGAGCTACACAAACGGCCAACGCCA